ATAGTGATTAAGATTATAACACAATGTTGACTGCTGTTCCCCTATTTTTGACCTTTTTACCTATTATGTCTGTTTGTTTTGTTCACACATTGTCGTCAATAAATTTGAATTTTATGCGACTGTCATACAAGTGAGAGGTTTAAAACCAGGTTTAATCCACCATTTTCTACATAAGAAAATACCTGTACAAAGTCAGGAATATGACAGTTGTTTTTCATTCGTTTGATGTGTTTGAGCTTTTAATTTTGCCATTTGATAAGGGACTTTTTCCGTTTTCAACTTTCCTTGGAGTTCGGTATTTTTGTTATTTTACTTTCCCCGAATGTGACCTACCGATTTAGACTTATTACTGGGTTTGTACTAACATGAGCAACACGACGGGTGCCATATGTGGAGTAGGATCTGCTTACCCTTCCAGAGCACCTGAGATCATTCTTGATTTTTGGTTTAGTTCGTGTTGCTCAGTCTTTAGTTTCCATTGTTGTGTTTTGTGCACTTTTGTTTGTCTGTTTGTCTTTTTCTTTTTTAGCCATGGCGTTGTCAATTTATTTTGGACTTATGAGTATGAATGTCCCTTTGGTATATTTCGCCTCTCTTTAATATTTTTTTCATTTTTTGGTTGTCACATCAATTTTCCTAAGATATCCAAAACTTGTTTATGCCTCCGCCGTAGTCAACGAGGGTATTAAGGGTTACCCTGGACTGTCCGTCCGCCCGTCCTTCCTTCCTCCCTTCCTTCCGTCCACACCCGTCCGTCCTTCCTTCCTTCCGTCTACCCGTCCGTCCTTCCTTCTGTCTACCAGTCCGTCCTTCCTTCCTTCCGTCCATCCATCAGTCCGTCCCCTTTTTCGTTTCCGCACTCTAACTTACGTTTTCTTCATTCAAATTTTATGAAACTCAAACACAATGCTGAAAACCAAAACTCGCAGACAGAGTTGATATTTTGGCAGTGAGTCATTTACCGTTCTAGAGTTATGCCCCTTCACTACTAAGAAAATTGCATTTTGTTTCGTTTCCGCACTCTAACTTAAGTTTTCCTCGTCCAAATTTTATGAAACTCACACACAATGCTAAGAACCAAAACTCTCAGACAGAGTTCGAATTGGGCAATGAGTCAATCACCGTTCTAGAATTAGGCCCCTTTATAACTTGGAGAATTGCATATTTTTTCGTTTCCGCACTCTAATTAAGGTTTGCCTGATATAAATTTCATAAAACTCATACACAATGCTAAGTACCACACAACGCAGACATAGATCAAATTTTGGCAGAATATCATAAACGGTTCTAGAGTTATGACTCTTTATAACATGGAAAATTGCAAATTTGTCAGTTTCCGCACTCTAACTTTAGTTTGTCTCCTCCAAATATTTGAAACTCCTACACAATTCTAATTTTGCCATTCTAGAGGTATGCCCCTTTTTAACTTGAAAAACTGCAAAGCTTGAGCAAGGGCATTCGTGTCCTCAGACACATTCTTCTTTTATAATGTTTAATACTTTGTGTTGACAATTTTTTTATTTTTCAAAACCAAACCGCTATTATAAAATTCCCTGCCCACTCTTCTAAAGATTCAAATGATTTCTGCCCTAGAACTGTCTCCTATGGCACACATCAAATCCTACCTTTTGTATGGTTCGGAGGTAGAGTCGACATCGTTCGTTTTCATGCCCGATTTGGTCATTCAGCAAAGCGTATTCAGAATAATAAGTAATTTGTAATATTAGACGTTGAGAAGGTTGGATTTCATTTGTGTATTAGGGAAAAATATGGTTTGTGTACAGGTAATATATCGTCTAATTACCTTATTATTGCAAATATCTGTCAAGTGGTGTATCGTTAGGTCTATATAAAGTTCAGCCCTAAACTATGACTCATAACAGTAAATGAATAAATCTCCAGTAAGAGGAGCACAGCCTATCGTAATGTATATCACTTGACGTAACACTTTACCTTCAAAACAACCATAAATATTATCAAGCAAAATTCCGAAGTCTAAAGCATAACTGTGCATTTTCAGTTAGCGTATATTTTTTATGTTTCATTACTGAAAAGGGATTGTAATCACTACAAAGGATATAACAAGATCTAGATTTATCGAAAAAACATTTTAAAATAAATCGGAAAATATCTGTTTTGATAAGATTATTAAGTAGTTCATTAAACGGAGTATACAAATTTTAACTGTCAACAGTGGAGGACTGACATTCAAAGAGGTCTTACAATCAATACAGAATAGTTTATACTAATATTATATTATGTATACGACATATGTCAGATTTGTTACATGTATGTTAAATTGTGCAATGTCTACTAGAACAGGAATATTTCCTTACATGTTACTATAAAGTCGATTTGAACAGCTCATTACAACTTGTTTCTTTAGTTTTATGAATATTTGTCTAAACTGAGAAGAGGTACCTCTAGTTTATTTTAGAAAGGGACTGATCTTATTATATAACAAAACCACTCTGTATCTAGCAAAATGTTTCTTCTAAACTAATGTCGACAATATACTTTTTAATGTAATAGTTTATAAATGCCTGTACCAAGTCAGGTTTATTGTAGTTGTTTTTCGCTTGTTCCGTTGATTGATAGGGTTTGATTTTGTCAGTTTTTATGGACTTCTTCTTTTGGGATTTTATATAGTTTGCTATACGATATTGGTTTTGCTCATTTTGAATGACGTACCAGTTAACCAGTAGTTAGAAAACATCAGGTCGTTGGTTTTGTCTTATAAATTGTTTCACATTTTGGGATCCCGTTGCCTTTTATATAGTTTGCTATACGATATTGGTTTTGTTCATTTTAAAGGACGTACCAGTAGTTGTTTATATCCTCGTCCTTTGGTATCCGGTGGATAGTTGTCTCATGGGCAGTCACCGCTCCTTATTTTTATATTAACATCCATTACCTTCACTTTCTGCTATAAAGATAGCTTTCAATAAAATGTTGGGTAACTTTGAATCTCTATGGACTAGAAAATATATCATTTCTTTGATTGTTTCTGTTTAGTTATTTCACAACTTTTTTACACCTTTTTAAGACATTGGTAAATTTAGAGCTGGATATACTGTATTGCCACATTCTAATGTTTAGTTTCCCTCTATAGGTGTCTTTTAGTAATTTTTTTCGTTGAGTTGTTGTTTCATTGACGTATTTACATCATCTTCTTTTATTGAAACATATGTATCAATCTTAATCATGTCTCTTTAAGGAATATGTTCACGAGCGAACGAATAAGTAAGTGCTTACACTCAATGTCCATGTTTTCATTTTTTATTATAAAAATAGGGATATGTGGTATGATTGCCAATGAGACAACTATCCACCAAAGTTCTTATGAAGTGGATGTAAGCGATTATAGGCAACCGTATGGCCTTCAACAATGAGAAAAACCCATACCGTATAGTCGGCTATATAATATTATTATATTTTTTTCACGCATTTGATGTTACCTTTATAAAAAATATTCTAAATCACACAAACATACACTCACACGCTATATAGATAAAAGGCAATAGTAGTTAAAACATCAAATAATGATATCATCATTCTTGAGGATTACAATTTATCAAATTATAGGCTAAAACGTTTCAGTCACCCCAAGAATTTATCATATTCAAAATAGTTTTTCCATTATTTATAGTTGATGTGTCAATGCAAAAGAGATAAATTTTAGACGCTTGTTATCCTGGACACTATATTCTACGACAAATTTATCCATGTTTAAAGCGTCATTTTTGCACTGCTGCAATCGGGTTTATCTTCTGCCATTTTTCTTTCTATGAAAATTTTTCACCCGCTCCACGTCGTTAAGCACTAGGTAAACAAATGCCTACTCAAGGTTTTTGTAATCCTATCATCTCTTTTCCTCTCACAAAATAAAAAGAAAACGATACTTTTGAGTGTCTTTGATTAAAGGAGAGCAGTAAATTTTAAGTTTTTACGAATGGTGTTCCCTTTTGTTGACTCTATAAAATTTGTCTCATTGTGGAACATGTGGAAATTGATTTATCGAAAATATGATATGACATGATAGAACTCACATAACAAAACACTGCCAAACAATGGCAATGAAAATCAGAATGCATATTTTATAAGCACATAAGACTTCAACTTTAAACGATAAAGGAAAATCGATGAATAAAAAATACTTCCTATTTGTCCAATTATTCGAAGAAATAAAAATTGACGAAGAGAAATACATTTCATTTTGTTTTATTACAGATTTTAAGTACAATAAGTTAGACTCATAAGTTCAACTTTAATTATGAATAAAAGTAGAATCGATGAATATGTCCAAAACACAAATAAAAATACAAAAACACTTCCTATTTATCCACATATTTTTAGAATTCAATTTATGGAGACAGATAATTCCGTTTATATTTAGTTTTGTTTTGTAACAGATTGAACTTTTGTTCAGTAGCAAGAAAATTTAAAATGAAGACCAAATTCTGTTTTTTTTTTAAATTTTACACAATTTTGGAAGCAGGCAATATACATTGTAATTACTTATATTTCATTTCAGAATTCTTTTATATTTTTCTGCTCACATTATGAGTTTTACCCCATAGAAAACTTAATGAATAAAATGATTTTGCACCACAAGGAGTTAAAAACAAGCTAAAAAATATATACTTTTTATCTTAAGTTTGAAAATATTTTCACTGATTTTTTTTTAAGTGTTTGAATTATTTTCATTATAGTTTTTCATATATTACCTTCAAGGTAATCGGTAGATTAAAACATAAATTGGTTTTCAATTCAGGTAAAAAAATTAAAGCATGTAAAAAAAATTTCCATACACTAAATCATCAAGCTATTCTTGTTTCATATACAGAATATATAGAACTAGTATTAAACGAAGATTTAGAATTAATAAATTCAAATTTTTCTCAAAAGTGAAACATTTGACAAAGAAAAGTTATTGTCAGTGTGATAATTGTTGTTCGTTTTGATCAAAGAACTGCATATCTTTACTGATTTGTTTAAGATTTTAATAATCTACATGTAACACTAAATATATTTCGTTGCTATTCTTGAAGCAACCCTCGGTTTTTCAGACAACATTAATAGTTTAGAATTCTTTTATGACAGTTTGGCCCTATAATTTGTATTAAAGTTTACTTGCATGTTTGGTTTTTATTTTATACAGAATCTTCAGTGTTTTACATTATACAGTAATCCTGCCTGGAATTAGTAACAATCTGAATCTGAATCTGGATTTGAATTGTAAGAATCATAGTCAAACCCAAAATCATCAGAATCATTGGAACTTTTGTCCGAGTCTGGAACTACTCCGGTGAATTTTATTAATTTTAAACATGATTCTGGTACTTTACCAACCAGTAAAACTTCCTGGTGACTTTCTGCAAATTTGTGGAATTTTTCATTTACCTCCTTGTCATTTATCTCGTATTTTTTTCTCAATATATTTGTTCTCAAATCAATTATTGTTACGTCTTCTGGTAAACTTCCAACGTCGATTTCGGCAATGTGCTTCATACCCCATTTATATCCACTTTTAAGTTTCAAATTTCTAAAAGATTCTGCTTTGTAAAGTGACGCACAGGTTGAAATATACTGAGAAGAATAGCCTCTTCTACTTCCGGTTGCAACATGGGTAGCAACATCTTCTTTCGCATTTGGTTTTTTTGCTGATAATCCCTCGCTTATATCATCATTTTCATGAAGTAATCGGTACAACTTTAGAAACTTTTCCTGATAATAAGAACACAAAGTACTAACTTAAAAAATACCTCAACTAAATAAAAAATAATGATAAAATAGATTTGTTTTATTTGTTAAGGAAATCGCCCTTTGAACTTTATATTGATGTATAACACTTTTATACTTTTTTTTTCACAGACACAAACTTGCAAAAGGATCACTGACTTGTAAGAAACATTAATATCTTCCCTCTACAACCTATCATTTCCATAATTATCATTTGTATAAAAAATAGGAAATGTGGTACGATTGCAAATTAGAAACTATACATGATAAAAACAAAGATGTGAACAATTGTCCAGAAAAGCGCTTCGGACGCAAGAAATTTATAACGTGTTGTTTTCATTTTTTACAGCACTGGGTCGATACCTCTGCTGGTGGACTTTCATTCCCCGAGGTTATCATCAGCTCAGTAGTCAGTACTTCGGTACTGACATGATTAATAACAAACCTTTCTAAATTAGCCCGTTTATAAATTTTGAAATTATAAAGAAACTAAGGTGTCAACTCCCTCAGGCAAAGTTGGTCTTAGAAGGATTTGGCAATTATTTTAGGTCATTTTGGATTATATAGATCTTCAACTGTTTCGGATTTATACATCCTTGGCTTTTAAATATTCGGCTTTGAGCGTTCCTCAAAAAATTCCAGAAGAGCGCTTCGGACGCATTAAATTTATAACGCGTTGTTTTCATTTTTTTGCAGGTTACCAAATATCAATTTAGTCATTAAAAATCTCTTCTATAAGTCGAGTAGCTCTTTGGGTATTTGATTTTGAAAGTTCCTGATAAAGGAAAATCCTGAAAAATTCGTCGGACGCACCAAAATATAGTGTTCTTATTTCTAAATATATAAATATTAAAGATAAAATGCTACAAAAGGTAAGAATGTACCAAGGTGGACAATAAAATACTAGAAGTTGACGAAAAACAGTCAACGCCATGTTCAAAAGATTAAATATGAACGAATAACAACAGTCCACAAAACGCTAAACAGAAAAGCACAAACCCCATTCAACTTTTGAATGAACTCATGTGTTTTAGAAGGGTATGCAGCGACTGCTCAACTGGACAAGGCCTCAAAAGTCTTGATAATAAAAATAAATCCTGTAATAAGTCACATTTTGTCATAAACCGGGGCGGGATTGGATATGAAAAATGTAAAATGTCTGTGCATAATCGCCTGTTAACAGATATATTTCGTGAGGGCCACCTAAATCATGAAGGCATTCTTAAAACTTTCGAAAAAATATAACTTCATATTGTCCATGAAGAACCGCTGTTTCAATAACTTACTTGTACGCAGCACCCCTCTATCAAGGAAATCCCCATACGTCACGCAAAATCGTTTTCTTAACCGTTTTAGCAATAAGAGTGTGTTTACCCTCAGGCATACATTGCCTAAGCCGTATGTGGCACAACTTTTCGGAATGATGTTTGATGTTTTTTTGCTCTTCAACTTTGCATCTTATCTGCTTTGATTCGAGCTTCACTAATGAATCTTATATGTAAACGAAACAGGCATCTGACATACCGAATTATAAGCCTGGTATCTTTAGTGAGTTTTTTCATATGGAATTCAGAAGTATTTGATTCGTTTTCGTCTGTGTTTGTTATGCTACGGTATTTCATAAATACTATCAAGAGGAAATGAAAAATTTGGAATTCTTAAATATAAACTGACTGGAATATTGAAAAAGCACGGATTAAAGAAAGCTCTACTGTCAACTTCAACAGTTTCTACCAATAAGAACTAACATGTTAACAAATCTTCATAATTTTGTGAAATTTATACTTTTATCTCATTCAAAAGCCTGAAAGACATTTATTTTATTGCCCCTAGCAGTAGAGGATATGGTCATAGTTTCCGATCGTCTAAAATACTTTGTTAACGCAACTGCTCATAGACCATTTGGCAGTAGGATTGTTTGCCATCATATGTAATTGACCATTATGTACCGCAGGTCCTATAAGTGCTCCCCTCTCACGTTACAAGTCGTTACTTTCATACTGCTGACCAAATATGAAGTTATTCTGTTAAGTAGCACCTGAGTAAATTGTGATTGAAATAAGTGTTTGACGTTCGGACGAACAAACGGACGGACAAGGTAAATGCAATATAGCACAACTTCTAGAGTGAGAGACTAATAAATGTTCACGTGGGGCTATCATCTAGATTCAACCACTTACGCGAGTTAAGGTAGATAAAATGTAAATATAAGTGTTTATTTGTATATGGTAAAAAAATACCGCTTCTTCTCTTCTTTTCACAGGTTGTTGTATATTTTCCTCGTCGTTATCCTTTTTATTTTCAGGTTGATCACAGTCACTTTTGATTTTCTTTATGGCTGGTTCATCTGTCAGTGATGGTGATGTTGAATTTCTACGCTTTCCTAATATATTCGTCTCTACAAGTTCCTGAAAATATGATATTGATTAAAGAACGATAACTCGAAATTTATCATGTGAAGTTAATGCGGTTTTTACTTTGTAACGTTGTTTTGTTTAACATAAAGTGTTCCCGTTTGTATTGTGCATCATGTATCCTCGCCAGAAGTAACATTGCTATATAATTCTTATTGTTTTGATTATAAACGAGTATATTATGAAATTGAATAAATTTATTATGAGCTACATTAACTGGCCTGTAAAAGCAAACCATGACTCCGCAAAAAAAAAACTTGACTTCTTTTTCTGTGTTCACTAATTTTGGATTAATCGATTTTTTTATTTTTTTTTATATTTCCCGAATAACCAGTAGGGAATGTAAAGTTACATTTAATAATCTTATTTTCTGGATAGCAAGCAACAATCAATCAATCAATAAATCAACCAATCAATCAATCAATCAATCCAATCCAATCATACTGGCTGCGAACAACAACGTAATACTTTAATGAGAGCGTAAATTGTTACCTCAGATTTGGACTTCTGTATTTCGTTATCTCCAGAGCCGTTTGTCACATTACTTGCGTCCATTTTCTCACAAAAAATTATTCTCTAAGTGTTGTGGTCCATTTTAAATTACACCTACCAATTAAAAACATGAAACGATGTAATTCAGTTTGAAATTTTTACTTAAATGTTGTGATATTTTTGTCTTTTATTAATCTTTATGTTAACACGTTTGTTACAAAAAAGTTCTTACCTCACTATAATCCAGGAACTAATAACACAATTATGTCGTATCTAATAGAAACACACAATACACATTTCCTTTTGCGATATTCTGAAAATAAAATGCACTTTCACTTTCATTTTTAACAAAATGATAGTTCATATTTATTAAAGATATATAATATGCAAGTATATGAAATACAGATAAATATACGGCCTTTTCCATTTCGGTTAGGTCATCATCCCGAGGTCTGATTAGTTTAAAACATATTTATTTGCTTAAATATGCAAAAGGGATGAGACACAAGTTAATCAAACTTATAAAGTCTTCTCCCATGAAGGGTCTGATACCGATCGAGGAATGATATCGGGGTATTTGGTAATGTCAGGTATTAATCTGCTTATCATATACTTCTGGTTTTAGAATCCAGTTAAGTAGAACACAAAACTGATATCCCATCTGTTATTTTTCAAGGTGATAACCAGACCAAAATGGAAAAGAAAATCGGTCTGTTGGTAATAATGTATAAGAAATTATGAATTTCAAGAAGACAGAAACCAGTCAACAAATGTCATGTTTTTCTCTGACTGTTTATGACGTCTATACTAAATCCGTTTTATGTGCACTGTTTGCTACTTTAGTTTTATCTACCATTTTTTTTTTTTATTAACTTTGAATTAGTTTTCAGTAACTGCGAGTACTCTCAGATTGGTACTTTGCGTCTTTTGTCTTTATGTTAGATGCTTTTGTGTTCTTCGTGCCAATTTGTTAAGTCGAAAAATTTATAAATTTTAAAATTCTTATGTTTTGCTATTGCACCACTGTCGCAGTTATGGGAGGGTGGGCGCCTTAAAAATGTTGAACCTCTAGCCTTTGTTAGTCTTGTGTGTTTTTTTTTAAATTTTGGTTTATTTGTTTGTTTCAGAGTTTGGTGTGGCTTCCATTTCGCTGAACTAGTATACCTTTTTGATTAGGGGACTTCTTTTGAAATGAGTTTATTTGTGCGTATTGCTGTGTTTTTGTTTATTAAGCTAGAGGTATAGGGGAGGATTGAGATCTCACAAAACATGTTTAACAAGTAAGTCAGTAACCTCTAGCCTTTGTTAGCCTTGTGTGTTTTTTTTTCAATTTTGGTCATTTGTATGTTTCGGAGCTTAGTGTGGCGTCCATTTCGCTGAACTAGTATACATTATTGTTTAGGAGCTAGCCGAAGCCCGCCTCCGGGTGTTGGATTTTCTCGCTGCGTTGAAGACAATTGGTGGCCTTGGGCTTTTTTCTGCTCTTTTGACGGGTTGTTGTCTCTTTGACACATTTTCCATTTCCATTCTCTATTATATCAGCCGCTTTTTTTTATATGCCTGTTCTGTCAGGTTGTTGTTAGTTGCTGTCTGTCATATTGGTTTTTTTTTTCGTTTGTTGTTTTTATCATAAATAAGGCCGGTGTCATTTTTGTTGTAATTGTTTAACATTTTGACGTAACATCTAAATCATGTCAGAAAATTTGAACATGTCCTAAAACCTTTTCTGAAGTCATCACTACCTAGGAACGGTGTGATTTTCAAAGCATTGTCAGTTTTCCCGTGTCCAATAAAATATTCCTATTGATGAAATAAACAAGACAAGATATCTGCTATGTTGTACAAATTGTTGTTTAATATACATAAGAAAGATATTTTGCATTCTAAGTGGATAACATGTATTGAAAATATCTTGAATGATTGTGGATTTTCTGAATATTGGATTGGACAAAATGTACCGAATTGTATATGTTTATTTAAACTTGTAAAACAGAGATTATGTGATCAATTTAAGCAGAATAGGGGTTCAACTTTTTTAACTCTCTAAAATGTCTTAACTATAGACTTTTTAAATGTAATCATGGTTTAGAATATTATTTACTTAATTTACCAGATGATTTAAAGAAAGCCTTATGCAATTTAAGATGTGTTAATCATCGACTCCCAATTGAAAGCGGTCGCTTTTGGGGTATAGAACGTGAAGACAGAATTTGTGACTAACTAGGGGATGACTTGTTTGATTGTACATTTTTCAATGATGAAAGGAAATCATTATTACCTTGTAAACTTATTACCAACCATTATACTGACAAATTTTATGAGTTGTTTAATTTTCTCTCTTACAATGTTGTTCTTAAAATTGCAAAATTTTGTAAAATTGTACTAGCTGTTGTTGATATATATTGTTTCAACCATTAATATGTCCAATTGAAATTTACTGTCTTCCTTTACGCATCTTTTTCACATGTATATATGTTAATGAATGTTTATAATGTTCACTGCATCACTTTGTTATTTTGTTATATTATGAATACTTACATTGTTTTTGTGTTATTGTTCACACACTTTGAGAAAATAACAACTTGAAGAAAACTTGAAACTTGACAAAAACGACATTTACACATTTAAAGACTGTTTATCAATTAAGATTTCACTTGATCTACAATAATTAACACCTTTCAACTGGTAAAAAGGAAAACTACATGAATGTCCCTAAAATGATATGAAATATACGTTCATTACAGATGCATCTCAAAAGTCCGAAAAAAAGTACAATGAAATATCCCCATTATTGCAGTTTGACGCCGGCGTTGTCACGAAAAATCTTAAACCGAATTATTCAATCAAGTTCTCGTATTTGTACGCATGTCGGTGCATTACATTTGCGCTTAGTATTATTACATTTGCGCGCAGCTTTTGATTACATTTGCGCGCATAGTTTTACAGGTTAACTCAGGTAGATTATACTTATTCATTTATTCAATTATTATTTTCGAGCAGGATACGTTCGTTTTATTACGAACAAGCACTTAGGCCTGAAAATATAAATAGATAAAAATGTAAAAACATATCAAATTTAAAGATTAAAAGTACTGATTTTACATGTCGTAACGTTCTGAATATTTAAAGTCCATTGCTATAAGAAAACACAAACACAAAAATACTATTAGCACATGGATATGCAGAATAAAATTGCTCATTGTAGAGAGCATTGAATGATTCCGGGCCGTTTGTAGTATGCCTGGATTCTGCGGATGGTAGTGATGCCCAAAGACTTGGAGGAAATAGGGAATCTGCTGAAATACCTTTGCAATTATTTACGGTGCATCGCCATGAAATATCCCTTGCCTTAAGTGTTCTGTTGATACGGAATGTAAATCCATCATACACCAATGATGTTTTTCTCCGACTTGTTTCTGACAAACGAAACTCCATGTTTGTGCCTTGACGCAACTTTCCAAACTGACTTAAATAGTACTAAAGCGATCATTATTCGCTAAAATTAGGAAACGGAGTACAAAATAATCTGAAATGTTCGCAATAAAGGTATATAGATATAAGAAGATGTGGTATGAGTGCCAATGAGACAACTCTCAATCCAAGTCAAAATTTATAAAAGTAAACCATTATAGGTCAAAGTATGTATGTCGTAAGATATAATTGCGGGATTTCTCATAACCACTTGTTATTTTTTTTAGAACATCTATACTACTAAAATAACGAGGTCCAATTTGTTAGCCAGCATGACGTAAAAACGACGAGCCAAAGAATTCAACTTTATATATAGCTAATATAGGACAATGGTGTTAGATTAAAATATTACACCATTCCAGGCCCTTTTGTTTTCCACAGAATTAATATTACCAATAATTAACAAGTTCCGGGTAGAATACGATACCGATACCAATAGTATATTATGTCGCATGTAGTTTCCGGTTGAGGAAACCAGTACGGGTTCAAACAGAAAGATTTTGGAAGCAGAGAAAACTGTGCACCTTATAATCAGCTTGACTTTATCAGATAACAATACGAATACTAAAAATCCAGGCCAAGAATAAGGCGCAGGTTCTTTAATTCAGTCACGGACCCGCGATGTCGCGGGTATGTTCTAGTATACTTTAAATTTACAAGTATGTTAAAAATTTATCATATCTATTGTCATACTTATTATGAATTATGTGTTACCTGTAAAAAAAGCTCCGGGCATGCATAGAAGTAAAACAAGCATCTTGTTGGGTTTTTTTTTATTATCTATATCTCACTTTCACAAATAGAAACATTTAGTAAAAAATAGAGACTACGATCAAAATAAAATTCATCTCAATTTGTAGGCCCCTGATCGAGCCAGATTATAAACGATTTGAAATACACACTTCTTTCACAGCGTTATTGTTAAAACAATTTATATTTTTGTTGAAATTATAAATCAAATAGAAAAACAAAGGATATGGGGTATAAATTCATGACACAAAATCAGTACATGCACATCTAAAAAACACATACAAAGCAAAGGAACAGCGCTTTTATTGCTGTTCTTCATTTAAAAGTCACAGTGAGGCCTTCAACACGGAGAAAAAGAAACTCTCACCTCGCTGTAAGTTTAAAGCGGCCCCTAGCGCCGGATTGAGCGGAATTGTTTGCAAAATGATTGTGATAGTGTAAGATGTATCACTACTATATCGGGCCCGATTAAAAAAGAACATACTGGAAAGTAGTACATATACAAAACAAAATAGATTCTATGCATAGATGTAGTTATTAAGGTATCAAATGAAAGGCGAAGGACTGGTGATCCTTGTAGAACACATACTGACTGGTTATTTTGAATAATACAAAATGTATGAATGACTTCTAAAATTGAGGGAATATATTGCCTGTTTCTCAGATATGAAGTACTTGGTTTATATATGTTGTTGTTCTTGCGGACAAAGCTTCAAATGATATTGTCTTTGTATGTAAATCGTACTACTACGAGTGTCTTGTAAAAGAATGAAGAATAAATGAGCACTCATGTAATCCTACATACAAAAACATATCATTTGACAAAGATGAGATTTTGGCGAATCATAAGTCCTTCATGGCTTCAATGAACATTACATTGAACAGCAAATCTGAGGACTTACCTTGTTCGTATTGGATACATAAGCTTCACAAAATTCCGTACAAACAACGGTACATTGCCGGCTCATCTGCATGTTCTACAAAGGAATTGTCCATTAGATTGACAAAAAATCTGTCCGCAGTGAAAGAGGGTCTTCAGAAATACTGTGAAACTGTTTACTCGCGTAGTGGTATTAACCATATGTGGATTCTAAAAATCTCTAAAGAACTTCTGGATAATTTTAAATCTCGATCTTTCTCTGAAATTAATTCTATCAAAACTTT